TGCATGCGACACCGACGATTCGATAAAACGCGAAAGCTACCGAAAGTTTTCGCGTTCCCGTGGACCCGGCCGCGTCTCTCGGGAACCTACTTAAATCTCGGTACGTCGAAAAGTCGAGGAATTAACGTCGCAGGAATCGTACATGGCCGAAGAAAATCTCGCGACCGAAGAATGCTCGAATCCGGCGAAAATAAATACAGTAGGGGGAAGAAACGAGCGAAGAGGAAACGTTGAAAGGGAAAAAAGAAGAAGGAAGAAGAAACGGAAGAGCGCGAATACGGACGGGTGGCTTCCTAGCAATGGGCCTGGCAAAATTTGCCAAGCGCCCGAGCAAATTGCGATGATTATACGGCTCGTACGGCGGCCAAGCGAGAAAAAAGGGGAAAGAAGGAAGGACGAAGGAAAGGAGGAGAAATAAAAGGAGCAAAAAGAGACGAAATATTCCATAAAGCGTAATGGAGGGCTCGCAAATATTTATCTTTCGGTAGGTCGGGAGAAGCGCAAAGAGCCATGCGAAAACGTTCCAAGCCGGATGGCCCTTGTCGCGGCACAGAAACGTGGAAAGTTCTCCTGACACGATTACGCCGCTCGGTGACCAGAAATAATTTCATTAGCCGCCCCGTAAACTCATCTAGCAGTTCGTAAAGAAAGCATACGCGTGGGAAATACGTACTTGGCCATATATGTACATATAGGTATTACGCGGACATATAATTGCGCGTCACGGACGCCTCGTGTTGTTTGACCCATGGGAACTCTAATCACGGTACTTAAATTCCTGTTGCATAGGTAGACGCGACAACTAATGCTGGCTCAAGGATCGCGCGCGTATACCTACAAGCTTGTAACTCTGTGTCAGCTTGAATGGAATGATTCGCGCCACCGAACACGCTTGCTAATGAGCGAAACGACGGTTTACACGGCTCGACGAGACCCTCCTGAAGTTAATGGACGCGTATCGATGAGACCCTAGACGGCGTCAAAGTCCTCGCTCTGATCCTCCAACCGCAACTCGAACTATGCTTCCGTTACAACCGAAATTTACTAACGATTTTAACAGTTACCGAACCGTGTCTCTAACAGTCGATCTTGTACTGCCTTCGAACGTAACAGTCGAATCTTTAGTCCCTTCGAGACTAAGCTCCTCGTGAGTGCAGGAGTCCTAAGGTTCTCCTTAGGTTTTCGCCTCCATGTGACTAAGTATCGCTTGCAATTAAATATCCTACAGACCACATCTCCGTTATTAAATTTGCGAGCGTTTGAATATCTGAAATTCCTGAAACACCATTTTCCCTAGAGAAGCCTACTCAGCTCGGTAATGTACAGCGGCGACGTTAATCTCTCGCGATCGGCTTAGAGGAGTAACAAGTAGCACAACGAGGCAAGAACGGTCTAGCGAAATTTCTGACAAGCAACGTTGCGGCATCGTTTCTTCGAGGATCATTGCGGTTCGCGAAGTCAACCGCGGATATCCTAAATTTCGGTTGCACGAGAGCCCTCGCAAAAACCGTTGGGCCCCCACTGGGCCAAGTTGTCTGGAAGGGACAAAGACAGGCGGAGACTCGAAAGAGAGATACGCGAAGCAAAGAGAGGATTACAACCAAAGAGCCGCAAGTGAGTGGCGCACAATCGTACAGAGGAAAGTGAGTACAAGAGACAAAGACGCTGTGGACACCTCTGTAGAGAGAGGAGAAAGAGAGAGAACGGAAGGCTGAGAACACGAAACGGAAGGAAAAGAGACGAGGGATCTCGCAAAACGTACACAGCTGAAGTTGACACATCCTCTGCCAGTCTACTGGCTTTTCTAGAAGCTAGAGAAGGACGAGCAAATCTAGACGCTTACTTAGTGACACGCGCAGCATTTTGCTGTCGGGCTAAACTTTCTCTCTTCCTCCCGAAAGCCCTCTACCCTTCCGCGGTTCTCTTTTCCCGCGTTAAGCCTCTATTTCTCTCTTACCAGCATTCTCGACGGCATTGTATTAAACCGTGGCTCGTGTTGTGGCTTGACAAGGGAAGGGGTTGACACACGCAGGGCTGGATTAACCATTAAGCGAAATAAGCATGTGCTTAGGGCATCAAGGGAACCGGCTACCGCAGAAACTTTCTATTGTAGGATTTAACGTGCACTATATTCTCCGGAGTTCCAAGTTTCACAGACCTAAATTTCAAACGTTCTCAAAGTAAAATGCTCCTGTATTCTTCAGTTTCGAAAATTTCAAACCGTCGATATTCCAAAACGCAAAAGTCCTAATCTCTTGAAATTGAAAAATTTAAGTTTCACGAATCCCGTTGAGAAAAATAAAATTTTATTTCGCGGTCATATGTTTTAAGCGAAACATACACGAGATATAAAGGTGTAGCGAACGAGATGAGGGCCCTGTGACGATCTTAAACCGGCCCTGGGCACACGAGATATCTTGCCCTCGGTTCCATCGCGTTTCCACCCGCGACACTACCCTCTAAGCCCCTTTCTCTGACCCGCCTCTCGTATTCCACACCGGGATACCCGTTGGATTATTCACGGAGTAATTTAAACTACGGATGACAGATATTCCGAGTGTTCCAGCCTGATCGATCGCTCGTGTCCAGCGAGAGGATTTCCTCTCTGTCGCGCTGTCATTTATCGTTCCACCGCCGCCGGATAAATTAATATCAGCACTGTCGATAATATCGAGAGGTCGTGCAACGCACTTTGATACCGCATCGCGTGCCTCTATCCGACCTTCTCGGAAAAACAAATCGTTTCGAGCGTTCACGATGTCGCGCGGAAAATATTCTGTTCTCTTGATCGCGAAAGAAGGGGAAAAAAATGGAAACCCGATTGGAAAAATGTTTCGCGCCTTCGCCAACCAACCTACTCTTTATTAAACTCTGTCCCACTGTCGGTTGTCGACCTGCTTCTCGTTTCTGACTTGTTTGTCGAGTTTCGAGACGATCTTCCATCTACTCCCCTCTCCAGCTAACCGACGGCAACTACTTTCAACCCTTATCAGACGCATCTGATTCTGACATGCGATTCGAATTTTCCACCCAACCAACCCCCTTCCATCGGTGTCGAGAAGAGCTCTTTAAAGTCGTAACGTGGCTTATTACGTCTCTGGAAACGTCCGACTTTCGTCTATCCAACATTTTCGCGAAAGATTTTCAGGGAAATCTGGAAACGATTCGCAACGGATGGAATGAATATTATTTCTCGTACCTTTTAGAAACGTGGTAGTCGCTGGAAGCGATATTGCGTGAAAAACATACAGTGATCTAAACGATTATAATCGTATATAAATTATACCGTATTCAAACAGGCATACCTAACCTACAAAGTTTCGTAATCTCCGCTCCGCGAGAACCTAACATTTTATGTTAAAAATCGGGCAAGATCGGCTGCTCGAAATGGAAACACCCGGTTAAAGATGTAAGCGATTATTTATTTCGCTAGGGCCATAAAGGTGAAAGGTAGTCAGATTAAAAGGGCAAGTTTTCACGGCTTTTTTCCGGAGGCCGCAAACGATGTACCTTTAGAGTGCAACGACTCGCACAATATCTTGAATTAACGAGCCACTTCTCGTATCTCGGTATTATTACGGCTGCTAAGTAATGCGGCTCGTTTAAAGCCGTACTTACGTCGGCCGTGTGAAAATCTTTTGTTTCCGCCCGAAACGTTTATCTCCGCCGGCCGCAATCACGCGATCTCGTTAGTTTTTTAATTAGCAATTACATCGAACAAACGGTTTCCTTTGTACGGCTTGTTGCGAGACACTTTTGACAGCACGATTCTCTACCGCACTTAGTTATCGATATAATGTCTGATACGCGATACGTTAACAGCATCCCTCTTCAACGTGTATTACGTAAACCGCTCCGAAACTGCGGTAGCAGCTCTTTTCGTCCATTGTTATGGTCGAGTACGGTTCGTTACGTCCTCCGGGCAATTCAGTCTTAACCCTTCTTCGGATTATAAGTCTCTGAATTACATTTATATTGCCTTATCAAATCTGTAAACGTTATGGAATACAGTCGTTTGCCCTTGCCGAATCGGTAAAGCGGTAGTAAAACGACTTCGGAACTTAAACGCGGGGATTTGTTTCGGGACAGCGCATACGGTTATGCATTGCTACGTGGTTCACGTGTCATTAGGCGAAAACTGAACATCAGTCATTACGTTCGCGATATAGTTGTAAAAAGGGGGGTGGAAATCAGCGAGCGAGAAAAAGTGACATAGTTTCACGGGAACGGATGACATTTTTCTCGACTGAAACTTTTCTTTAGAAACGGCGAACCGATTTTTCTTCGGTCCCAGCAACCGCATCATTCCGTACGCTGAACCGAGCCGAGCCATTCTCCTCTTGACGCTCTGGCAGAAGCGTACATCGAAGCTAATGGCGCGACACTCGGTGATTCGTCTTCGGCCGACGCGACGCTTTTCCCTCTCTGCCTTATTTTTTTCTTATCATTGCTCTGTCGACCGACACGTAATTTAAACGTATAGGCAGCAGCCATTTGCGTTTAAGCAACGAAGGGAAAGAATGTCTACGTTTATATAAATATGTATATTTCTAGCTACGATAAGCTCTTGTAGGCTTTTAACGAAATGGCCCTATAAGAAACTTTCTATGACTCCCTAAAATAAGTCTGCACTACTAATATTCTACAATACGATATTAACGATTACTGTCCGAAACAGTGAAAGGTCACAGATGGTGTCCTAGATCTGAAATTGCTTATAATTTACCAAACAGTGAATAGCAAACAAATATATTTCAACACTAGTGTTTTTGTATTCGAAGGTAAAAAGGGCAGCTCGAATACGCGTTTAAAAATTGATTAATTTACATTTCTAGGAAACGTGGCGTATAAACGATCTTTGACGGCAAAGATCGTAACATTTATTCTCGCGTTAAGGTGATAAGGAAATAGACTGGACGAGATTCTTCTCGACTCCTGAATGAAGCCTTTATGTTTCGCAAGATGTATAAAAATATCTGTCGCTGGTCGGACGAGGCTTTGCATTATTTGTTGGCCGGAACGGCGCGAGAAATACGCGACCGATGTACGAGCGGCTCACTTATTTATCGCGGTCCGAAGCAAACTGATCGTGAAACATGCTGTGAATTTTTCACGCGGATCGTTCTTGCTCTCGGTCTCGTTCTTGCCGGTGATCCACTTCGAAATTCTTACAAAAGGCCGTAACACCGGCAACCTCGATTCTCCTTTAAAAAATTGAAACGCCATTTCTCGTGCCACCGTGTGTTCGTCTTACTCCGAGATACGGTGCTTTCGCGGCAATATGCAAGTCCTGACGTCGTTTCTGCCGCTGCTGCTTTTACTACTTCGTCAATTCTCAACCACCGTTGGATTCAACATTCTCGGAATTTGCCCTAGCGCCAGTTACAGTCACCAGCAACCGTTTCAAGCTTTGATGAAAGCTTTGGCGACTCGTGGACACAAGGTTACCGTCGTATCGACTATTCCTTTAAAGGCAAGTGGGTTTATTATACTTTTCTTTCTTCAATTTTTACACCAGATTAGTCTGACTCGTATTACCACGTGTTGGATTTGTACAAGCTGGATTAACACCGAGTCAGCTTAAGGATTATCACGCGTTCAGCTACCACTCGTTAAATTACTCGTTAAAAATTTCCGAATTAAAAAATTCATGAATCTGAAAGTTCTGTGTTTCAAATTTCCTAATTTCCAAATTTCTAACTTCGAAACTTTGACATCTTCGTACATTTTGGATAGCGGTACTTGATCCGAGCTGAACCATCTTACGCGTGAAGTTCAGAAGTATCATAATTTCGACGCTATACAATTGCATTAAAAGTTCCATCATTTGTCAATGTTGCGAAAGTTGACGAAAATCGCGTGCCAGTGGCGGAACCGCCTCTAACAAGGTTAAAAACGGCGCTTTAATAATTCAATAACACCATGAACCGTAAAGAAAAGTTCGAGAGATATTTCAGATAGGTGTTTGACTCTGTTCCGCCATGTTCTCGTACCTTGTTCCCGCGTTCTATGCTCGCAGTTCATTTTCACCTCTCTTTCTACTTACACTTTCTTTTCCCTCTTTTTTCCTGATCCATTTCGTCTCCCTCTCCAAGTTATCCTCCCTCTAAACTCCGGTCGAAAGTTACGCAAACTTCGTTCGGCGTCAATTTACTCCTTACTAACGTTTCTTTTTATTAAACGCGGCCCGCTCGTGACCCGATGCTCGCCATATTTTTCTTCCGCGGGGAAAATCAAGAATTCGGTTGCACGTGTAAATCGCGAGCAAACACGGCAATCAGACTGCTACGAGAGAATGCGACGAAAGATGTTGAAAATTTTAGTCAGACGGAATTCATTTTCAGAAGCCGATGAAAAACTACGAGGACGTCGATTTGTCGTTCACTTATCAGAAAAAAGACTGTACAGGCTTGAGGTGCGTGTTTCGATTTAGCTTATAGAAGGTAGTTTTTATTATCTATTTCCATAGCAAACCTTATTGACGAGCTCAATTAAATCAGCTTAGTTATGCACTCGGCTCAGTCAGAATCACCTAGGTGATATAGATATCTTGTTTATGGTACATGTGCATTGAAATGTAGTATGAGTGCATTACAGTATACGTAGCTTGGAATAATGACCTTAATATATGTAAGTTATGGAAATCGAGAATGAAAGCTGTAGACAGTTACCTAGTGTTTACTTCGCTGACAATATAATTGTGTATAATTTCCTTTTTGCGAGAAGGAAATTAAAAGTATCGATCGTTTGCAGGCATATGGGAGCGTTCACCCTGCTGCAGAAGAATATGCGTGAGGCAAACGAGTTATGCGAGAAGCAACTGTTCAGCGCACCCATCGCCGATCTAATTTCGTAATACGAAATATTCATTTTGTTTATGAACGCGCGCTACCGTGAAACAACGGACGAAAGAAAGAAAAGTTCATTTCGTAAGCTCGTTCGAGCTATAATGGTCGTGGAAAAGTACGCTAGCGCAATTTTCAGTCGGGAGTTGAAAAGAAATTGCCGACATCGTCGCGTTTGCTTGCCTCTCGTCGTCGCGAACAAAAGAAAACGACGCACCGACTAAGAAATTACAGTCATTCCATCGAGTTACAGCTTCATCTGCGAAACTAATCTGGATCGTGGCACGGTATTCTTTTTGCAGGAGCAACAAGACCTTCGACGCCGTGATTATCGAGCAATTATGGTACCAGTGTTATTACGGCCTGGTGAAGCATTATAATTCGCCGGTTCTGATCGGATTTTTGAGCGTCGGCAATCTGCCCTACGTTATGGACTCCGTCGGTAAGCTCCTGAATCGAAAAAGAAGCCGTCGACAAAACTATAAACGAGTAAGAACTGCCGTGCTAGCAACTAATTTAAACTTCGATCGTGCGCTTTTCACGACATCTTTTCTTCCGAGAAAACAATGGCGCTTTACTCGAACGCCAAATTGACTTAAATTGTTAGGCAAGTAGAAAGAAGCACGCGCTGACTCTTTGCGATAGTCGCTAGTTACCCTAGTACCGAGGAACAACTTCGCCTCTAAGCTTGAAAGAAAATCTAATCGTCGGACACGATGGGATATTTTCCCTTATAATGATGCATGTTATCGATGCACGCTAATTCGCCTAAATTGTTTTGACTGGTAGGAAATCCAGACGACCCGATGCTGAACCCTGACATGGCTTACCCTTTCACGAACAAAATGTCTCTTAACGAACGTGTCTGGAACATTTTGTATACGACGTGGACGAGAATATACTACAAGTACTGGCATTTACCTGACGCTCAGAAGATCGTTAACAAGTGGAAGGCCAATGTCTCGATCGAGGACATCGACAGGAACTTCAGCCTGGTGATATTGGGAAACAATCACGTATTCGGGTATCCGAAACCGCTACTGCCAAATGTGATCGAGGTTCACAGCCTCCAGATCACGGAGAAAAGCGAATCGTTGCCCAAGGTAGCAATTCGGACTGCTAAACTTTGCCATTAACGCGCTGAAATTGCTGAATTTTACCGCAGCCCGGTAAACTCGTCTCGTTCTACGTGTTCCGCGTCGAACGTTCGTAATTTTCGGAGATAGAACGGGCGAACTCGATCGCGGGTTCGAAATAACCCGCGGTTCTACCCGACGCTTCGTACTGATTCGTATCGACCGTCGAACGACGCGGCGTCTCGAACGAAAGTAAATTCGCTTAAAAATTACGATTACTATTCCTGACGGAGGTCGCCGCGTTATTTCGCATAGTTTTAACCTAGCAAGGGGTAAAACCGGTACACGGTGGCCGGAGGAAATGATTTCTCCGGGGGAAAATACGTAGTAACCTCGCAGGTAACAGAGGGTACAAGGGGAAAAGTTTACCTACGGCCCGGCATTGCGACACGAAAGTAAAGGAAAGGCCATTGCTATTTACCGCCGCTCGTTCTACCTTTTATCCCCCACCCCGGCTACCAGCAAAAATATTTTTCCAGAGTACTTCTACCGTCGAAACTCGTTTTCCGGCTCCGAAGAAATCCAAGATCCCGGTTACCTTTCTCGTCACCGATTCTTTTCGTTTTCCTCAACCACCCTTTCGTCCTATTCACGAACCCCATAGAAATTAACCTCTTCAAGGATAATCATTTTACTCGTTTCAAATTTGTGGCAATTACATAAATGATTATAAAGTCCACTCCTGTTACTTCCTACGCTTCTATAAATATCCTCGAAGAGGTTAACTCATTTTTTCTGACGCAGTAAGATGTTATTCCCTCGGGGCGGACAATCGTGTCACGTGGAATTAATTAACGAGAAACGTTGAGGCGCAAAACGTGATCGCCATCCGGGCGCGTGAAAATTCCAATCAAACAACGAGTTGCACGACCCGCTGTAATTAATACAACAATACACCCTCCGTACTCCACGTGAGACGCGCGTACCGACGCGACCTTTGCGAATAATGGATACTGCAAATACGGACTGCGTGGGAGGACATTGTTTCACCCTCTGCATTCGATATTGCGAGAAGAGAAAAACGACGCGAATAGAAAGGGTTGTACGCGTTCTAAAGCCAACTAATAATTACGAGTATATTTGCGCGATAAGACTATATTCCGCGGTACGAACAAACGAAACGCGGACGATAATTAGCAAGATCCATTACATAGTTTAACCTTTCCTCGCAGGATATTCAAGAATTCCTGGACAACGCGGTACACGGAGCGATTTATTTCTCTCTAGGCTCGAATCTGCAAACTCATCAGTTGCCCGCCGGTCCTTTGACTGCATTGTACAACGCGCTTGGCTCGCTCAAGCAAAGAGTTCTATGGAAACACGCCGGAGACGTGGCCATTCATCCAGGCAACATCAAATTTGTGAAATGGGTGCCCCAGCAAGCGGTTCTCGGTAAGGATAACCCCTCCAGATCCTCCTCTGTCTCCGTCCTGTCTCTTGCGATTCCTTTGAACGTCGGATTGGCCGCTTCGGGATATTCATTTTATGCTTCAGCTTCTGAACAACGTCCACCTACCGGAATCATTATCCGAATAGGAATGCCTCGAGCCCGTTAACATGGCGGATAGGAAACGGTCACGCGAACGCGGCTGCAGAATTACACCGTTGATCACAAGTCTCAGATCACTTGATCCATTGTTGAAACGTACACTCGAGACTTCCCGTCAGATAAGAACGATATAAATTTCAAATAAGCCTGAAATTTTGCCTGACATCATACTTTTCCATAAATCGGACATTTTCGGACAATGCCACTCTTTGATCGCTCGGAGCTGCAGATAAAAGCCGACGAAATGGTTCCAACGAACAATCGTTTCATTTTTCTCCCGTTCTTTTTATTATTTCTTCTTACATAATCGTCGCCGTTCTCATAAATATGTGTCTGTTCGTTAATTATCGCGTTTCTGTTTGATTTACATACAGAACTCGCGAAAACTTGTCGCGAAGAGGACGCGACAGTCTGGTCTGTTCGTTAAACAGGATTCAACGAGAACTCGAGGATGCACGGATACTTAACGAAGTTGTCGTCGACTTTGCCTGGTCCTTTCATTTACAAGGGACCTTCATTTTCTCCGTCCGCGAAATGCTCTGTAACGACCTCGTCCACGCTCGTTTTTAAACGATCGTTCGCCGAGCACGTGGAGCATAATCACGGTTGCATGCTTAAGCGTGCTTTGGATACACTCGAAAATTTCGGAACGGAGAATCGATTGAAACGATGGAAAGCGCGAAACGTAATTAAAGCATTCTACGATAAATCAAACTCGGAAGTATCTGAATTTTTTTACACGACAAACGCAGCGAGCAATGACAAGAGATTTTAAATAATTTTCGAGTTTGAAATTGAATTTTTGTCTGTCATTCCAGAAACGAAGCGAAATAGTAATTTGGATTTACAAAATTTAAGCTCCATTACGGAAGCTTACCATGGTAAATTATATATAGTTCGCTATTAAAATTCAGACGTCTTTTAAGATCGTAAATTAATAATCAGATAACTCCTTTCTTGACACCGTCGGTTTAATCTGCTCTAGGAAAAAAGATGGTTAAACAGTAAAGTACAAATCCGCGATTCGTTTTCCACTTAGGATTTAGGATAAAACGGTCTGAATAACTTATAACCCTTTAGCCGGTGAGGCAGAACTCGAATTGTAACAAAAGAAAAAGTCGAGCGAAAAACTGGAAAGCTCTGCTTAGATTATGATTACCAAAATTAATTAATTCGCTTATAATACGCGATAAGAAAATTTCTTGGCCGCTTATAAGAGCTAATAAGCAATGAAAATGTTAAGAAGTTTAAAGTGGAAAAGTTCTGAATAACTTAATGGTCGGAGCAGTGGGTCGGCAAACGGAAGATCTCAATATTTTTCTTTATAAAACGATTCCTCGTTACGATCGCCGGTGTGTTTTTTCAAAGGTGGGAAGTTTGATCGCGGAAAAACGCTGGATATCCTGGGATCATTCTAGAAAACGCGTTCATCCAAACGATTCATGGCAACACAAAAAGATAACAATGCGGTGAAATTCTCCGGGGAAATTCTGACAAACAAGTCAGCGCGCAAACTTCCCTACACACTGACGGACAGACAGGCTATTCATTCGTCCGAGGAGAACGTATTAAAGGTGGAAATGGAGAATGTAACAGGAGGGCGTGATACAAATAATGAGAATTTCGATTCAATCGCCTGTTACGATTTACGTAATTTTACGGAATTCAACCCTCGGTTTTCGGCGAAACACCCTCGCGATCGTTGACAGCGTTCATTCGACGCTAACGATAATGAACCCCTTTTAACGAACGAGAGAATAATTAGAAACCCCTGTCCGAGTACCAGCAGTTCCGCCATTCTCTTGTTCAGATTTTGAAGGCAGGTTGTAACACAAAAAATCCATAAGCTGATCCATAACAGGGGCTTGCTTTACTTTATCTCGATCCAGGGTACTAACATCGCTTTTATATGCAGCACATCCGAAAGTGATGGCCTACGTGATGCAGGGTGGATTGCAGTCTTTGCAAGAGGCAGTGCACTACTCTGTGCCGGTAGTCGCCATTCCCTTTTTCGGGGATCAACTTTTCAACGCGCGTAAAATCCTCGACGCTGGTATCGGACTTACATTGGACATCGATACCATCACCAAAGAATCCATCGTTCGTACACTCACCGACATTATTGAAAATAAAACGTGAGTAAATCGGCCTGAAACTTTTGCGAACTCGTTCTTTCGATGGTTCTTCGAATATCGGTAGAGTTTTTATTATCGAGTTGATTGTCGCAGTAAAAATAGCGGTATTTAGTGCACGGTAAAAGTAAGACTTGTTCGAACTTTTGCTTACTAACGACTCGCGCTAAAATGTTCTCTTTCAACTTGCAGGTACTATAACAACATCAAGATCATGTCGGAAATAATAAAAGATGAAATGGTGAAACCTATGGATCGTGCCGTTTGGAACGTTGAACACGTGATTAAATTTTCAAAGTGGAAACATCTGCGTTATCACGGTCACGATATTTCGTTGATCGATTATTACGGGACGTTTGTGGTCCTCGTATCGCCATTAATTTTGTTATTATGCTGTGTCTATTTAGTGCTTAATAACTTAAAAAATATACCGAAATATGTTTCAGCCATTTATGGACAAGCTCAAGTTGCATTCCTCGGCAGAGAGAAAGCTGAATAGTTATTTTTGATTAATTTCCAAAATTGATCGTTTCATACCGAGTATTTTTATGCGATTAAACTTTCTTTAAAATTGTAACATCGATGGAAAATTAATGGAATAAAGTACCTTATGCAAATTTGAACATTTTGTGTTTTTAAAATATTATGTATGTTTAGTTAATTAATTAGTATCTACGGAAGGTAAGATTCAATTTTCGGACTACATCGTTGATCGATAAGTATGGATACCTAATTATCGACATATGGTAAGCTGTACATCGACTGCAATATCGGCATAACAAAGTTTATAATCATTGTCAAATGATTCAAATCTGTAGAACTCTTATTTGAAACAGCGGAAGTACTTATCTTTTTAGGTTATACGATAAATGTATTAAAGTCCACTATGTATGATTAAATAAACTACTTGCACATTTACAAAATTGTCCCAAATATTTCAAGTTAAAATGTACTCACCGATTTGCGATGGCTGACAACGTTCTGTATAAAAATAATTTGGGAAGATGCAGATCTGAAGAAATTCTTCGTATTTCTCTTCGATTATAAACAAAATACGAACAATCAAATACAGCTCAAGTCCCAAATAAACCTGTGTTTAATTTAACGAAATATAATGACACGGAGTACGGTATAATTTGAGCGCGAAAAGTGACGCACGAGTTTGTCAAGTGATGCAACAAACAAACACTGATATTATTATGTAGAAGCTACTCGCGACAACAATTTCACGTCCATGCACAAAATCGATCACTAATCTTTCGAATCTGTATATTTAATAACACGAAGCACCGTACTTTCAATGTAAAAATAGAAAAAGTTGCGGGAGTAATGAGCCGTGCCGTGGCAAGTAAAGACTATGTGAAAAGTGGCGGTTTTGACGTAGTAAGTCAAACGAGTTCCTTATTATAACATTTTTTTCTAATGGAGATTCATAAAATTTTATTCTATCTGTGTCATGTTGTGTCAATAATTCAATGCTTATTTATTTAACAAATATCATAATCGGTACTATAGCGTTTTAATCAATAAAATCAATATTAATTAAATTTTTATAAAAATGGAACTGGTGGCGCCATCTCTCCGGCGAACGGGGTGAACTACACACTTTTGAAACAGGAGCTTCATTAGTTCCTATTTTCTACCGCTAGAGGGCAGATACGTAGCGCCGTCTAGCGGTAAAAATAGGAACTAATTAAAGTGCTGTTCAAAAAGTGTGTAGTTCACCCTGTTTGCAGGAGAGATGGCGCCACTAGTTCAATTTTTTTAAATTCAATTAATACCGATTTTATTGATTAATATGCTACATATACATATTATTCATTAATTATTACTGATTTTATACTGTTTAAAATATATTCCATGGGTCCAGAAATGCGAATTATGTTTTGAAAACAGTTCACACAGTATACCGTATCTCGTCGATGATATAGGGAGTGACATAAGAATTTTTTTTCTGTTCAAATCCATTCTCACAGATATCTACTTTTGCAAAAAGAGCTTATTCGTAAAATTTGCTCGATGACATGACAGTATTCCAAAGTTTCCTCGATAAAATTAAAAAATATAAATAATATCTACAAAGTGTTATCACCTGAGTAATTCAAGCGGTTTAAGCGATTATCAAGCTAAATTAAATTCGTAAAATATTTCCTATATTATCAATGCACCTCGAAAAAAGTTTTTAAGTTAAAAAGAAAATCATTTATTTAAGAACTTATATTTCTGCATAATAATTATTACCGTATGCTGAACAAAAACTAGGACAGAGTAATTCTCTTATTTGCTATTCGTATAACATGTTGTCCTTGATAACTTGTCTATCGACACAGACTGCAACATTAACTCCATTTGACTCTTTGTACGCAAAGTCCAAACCGCAGATGATCAGCTAATTTGTTTTCGTCTCAAATAAAGCGCTATTGATCAATTGTTTTCAATGCAATGACATGCAGATAGATCGAGCAATTTACTATGCGATCATCAATAGAAAGTATTTGTAAATGAAAATTACATTTATATTTGTTAGCGTTTATAGTTTAGAATAAAGCATTCGGAAATGTTTTATTGAAAAGACCTTTGAACGACAGCTTAAATGTATAATATTAAGAAATATTGATAACAGTTTGAATAATAATTGAAAACTGATAATAAACGAACGGTCGTTCAGATGGCCCATTAGCTCAGTTGGTTAGAGCGTCGTGCTAATAACGCGAAGGTCGCGGGTTCGATCCCCCCATGGGCCAGAATTATTTTTGCCAATTTTTTTATGTCTACATCTGTTCATTATCAATCATACATTATCATTAACCACATATTTCTTTATACTCTCGATGAGTCAATCTAAAATATTTTGCCAAACGCTCGTACCACGTATCGGGTATTTCCTAACCAATTTAACAATAAAGGATAACATCGATTTCACTAAAGACACGCGTGAACACGATTAATGAAATCATTATATCATAGTTGTTACAACGATAAGATAGGCGCAGCCTCTCGAAACATTTGTGAAGTGTCTTGCAAAAGCCAAAGGCCTTGATCGCTATCTCCCTTGTAATTTAAACAAATACTAAATCTAAATTCCATCTGACAAAACGATATGTAAATACGTATATGCGGTTCCTGTCAAAATATGTCTGGATAACTCGTGCGGCGAGGAAATTTCTTAGCAAATATCCATCAGTATATCAATCAAACTCGAATGCGTTCCTTTCGAACTGACTCGTACATTTCCAGTCCGTTATTCGCCAAAGAATACTGTATCGCGCATCCGTGGGTGTAAAAAGTCGCAGTATATGCGGCAAAATAAATTTCCACGATGAGCTATGGCAATTTCCTATGGTTCATCGCTGTATTTCGCTATATGTAACCCTTCGCTGGCAAAGGTAGACAGCTATGCGCCTGCCCCTTGCAAATGCATGTCCATACAGATGCAAGTGTATGCACGCATACGTCTGCAGTCGAAGGGGCATTATACCACCACGTTCCTGGAAGTTATCGATCAGCTCGCAAGCTGAGCTTTCTTTGGTCAAAACTGACGTCACAGACGGCAGCTGATAGGCAGAATTCAACTGTGGACGTCTGCCATTGGCTGGCGAGCCGGTATAAACGGTGCTTTCACGGTAACCTGTTCCAGTTGTGTTGTTATCCACTCACTGTACACTTGGTAAGTACGTTACATTTAACTTAAAATCAGCTTTTCTCGATACAAACACATCTCCTACCATCTTAACATTATCAATAATCCATTACCTTTTGTTTTTTCTTTTTATCACATTTTTTGCATCAAACTTTCACTCATAACTTGCCGAAAGTGTTCGATTCTTACTCTTCCTTTGTTTTCAATGTCCTCGGTTGTATAAAAATTTCTGTTTCATTATAGACATTTATAGTCACATTTTAATATTCGAGTCGCTGCTGTCAACGGACCCGAAAGTATCGACGCCCCTATGTCACCTTTCGTCATTTTTTAATGCTTCATGGTAACTAGACAAGAAATCAATGGCTGCATTCTTTGACGCGCGACCATTAAAGGTGCTTACTTTCCCTAAGCGAATTGTGCAAACTGCGGTTGCAGTCATCGAACGCCGCTTCTATAATGCAATAGTCGAGCAAAGAATAAAGGCTTCGTTTATGTTTACCTATAGCGCATCGTTTATCGTTTAAAAGTATCGTATAAATATAAATTTCAACATGTCCGATTCCTGCAGTCTGTCGCTGCAATGCATATGCGCGAATGGTCAAAGTCGGATATATCGATTTATCAAACTCCGTACGATAAGCTACGGCAAATTCGCGGAATTGTTATAACAAATGTTCATCGATCTGACGCATTACCTGTCGTAGGGATCATCGGTACAAAGTATCAAGAATTTATCATAATAATAACAAAGTCAGCTGAGAGTAATTGCCATTCGTGTCATACTGACTACGCGAACTAACAATAATTAAATCGAAGGATCGCATTTGAAATGTTCCTGACTACACGCGACCATTTTCACAGTGACAGTTGACTATAAGAAAAGAAAATAAACGTTGACGATTAACGCTTTCACTCCGAAGTGATTGGCACAAAATGTATTGTTGACAATTAGCTGTGGACTTTATAAATTTTTTATTTTATATTCAATAGGGTCCATTTTATGAAGTAATTTGAATAATAACGGATCGTTGAACTCGAACACGATGAAAATGTTTTTTTTCATCGACTGCTCGTACATTTGAAAACATTTGAACAGCACAGCGACTGCGTCCTGTGTCCACGATTTGTTCGTGTCGAGGATAATCGATATACCCGCACCTTTTCATCCTGCATCCTGCGCAAGAATATTGCAGGATTGTCTGTTCAAGGTTCAATGAGATCGTTCCAAATGATATTCTACATTCAACCATTTACTTTATTTACATTTTCCACACCTGACAATTCTTTCGCAAGCGATATAAAAACAAAGGAGATATTTTCGTAATTAACGCTTTGTTCAATGATTAATTAGCAAACAAGTTAAATATAACTTTTGCCTTTATTTTTAATCACGTTCTTACGTGTATATGGCCTGCGGTTTAAAATAAGATACACTTTATAAATAATAGCGATGGGTGCAACGAAGGATGCAGGCGCATGGCTGAACCTTGCGATCGATCGAATTATTTGCAAGCAGGTTCCATGGTCTTTCTATGTAACCGCCACGCATTCCTAATGGCGAATTCCCCCACGGGAGTGTGGATACAATCGAATTTTTTTCATGGAAATCAGTTGCCGAAGGTTACAAGTGGTTCTCAACATACACTGTCACAGCCCCGCTAGACTATCGCTTCTTTTTATTTTAAGTTACAGAATTTTGTAAGATATTCCTATATAAATATAAAAGTTTGTCACAAAGTTCTTCACCCTTTTACTCATTTTGTTATTTAGTTTCTAGTATTATAAGGTAAAACGTTAGTTAAGAAATCGTGTTCCCCCACTTTTGAACCCGATGTGAAATCGAAACTCGTTTCGTAAGGAGTAATCAAAAAGCAAGCGGAACTCCGTGTAAAATCGCGTTGGACTTTGTCCTAGTCTGCCGATGTACGGTATTTTTTTTCGCTGAAGCCCGCGAAACCAGACCGCGTGGTTTCTTTGGGCCACCGGCGAAAAACGAAAGAACCAAAGCATCTTTCTAGTCTGGCTCCGAAGCCTACCTGCAACAACTTTTAACGAAAATAGCCTCACGGCCGCAATAACTCGCTATATATATAAACCGCTTCGACATTGCGAGCGGATCATATAAAATCAACTTTTTCGCCCACGAGGAAAAATAGCGATAAAAACAGTAACACGTGTGTCTGGAGGTATTTTTTTCGGGGGTAATACAGAAATTTATTTCGGAACTTCTGCGAGACGAGTCAGTCACCTTGCTGGCAATCCTTGAACTTTACTACCGTTCACGCGAGAAATATTCTTTAACGCTTTATTACATATTCATGAAGACAAAAAATGAGATTAGATTAATGGGCTGACGTTCGTCGAACTGGCTGTCCTCCAATACTTTTCTGCGCGTTCTATTTCCATTCTATTTCATCGAATCTAAGTTCGGCTGCCCACGCGTTCGCAGTGCAAAAACGCTATCAGTGTAAGCGGTGTGTCGGCGTGGCAGAGTCAGTTCTTAGCTGTTACATAAAAATCGAGCGTGGGAATGAATTAACGAGTCGTACTAGCCGATTATGACGCACGTGTCGCGATAACAGCATTTCCAACTAAAACAATTTAACACCGGTGGAGGAGAAACAGGCGCGACAGCGTCGTGTTTCGCGATAACCTTCGTGTTCGTATCACGAGACGATTAAGTACCTGTGTTTATGTACCTCCTTTCTTGGAACTAGACGGATATAGTTACTTTTTAATATTTCGCGTTGTGCGCAGTAGACGGCCACATATTAGAGTGTAAAACGGTGTGTCTGGTAACAGTACTCGAAACTTGTCGATCGGTCATTGAACTTTGTCACGATGCATCGCGATTAATATTCGAACAAGTTCGCGACGTTACAAGGATCGTTGTTTTTTCTGTTACAGAAGAATAGTATGTATAAAGTACTTCACAATCAAGACATCAAACACGAGTGTTCGCGGTCAAGGGGACTGCATGCGTATCCTGATCACTTCAGGGAACCTAATAAGCTCTACCTCTAAACCAGCCGTCTACTAAATGATCATTTAAAGGTTCCTGTCCTCTGGTAGGACTCTGTATATAGTGTACATATCGCTTTTCTAACAAAGGATCTCGCTCAGATAAGCCGAGCAAGCTCGAAGGATCGAACAGTCACGCGGGGATTTAAAAGGAGCTCGAAAAGATTGCACTATACCCACTACCCCATAACATCCGACGCACAGCACCACCTAGACGCACGTACCGGTGATAGCAAAAAGAAACGCTACTACACTGGATAAAGCAGAGATACCGAGAGAAAAAGATACGAAAATGAGTACAGTGAAGCAACAAGCGTCGGACGATTTCCCTTTGTGGATGAAGTTCCTCACTGCAGGCACAGCAGCCTGCATCGCTGATCTAGCGACGTTCCCGCTGGACACCGCCAAAGTCAGAATGCAGGTAAATAGTCGCGATCGTTACCTTGTCCTTTCGTAATTAGCGTTTAAGTTACGAGATTCAATGTTTGCAGCATTGAACAGTTTTATCATTGCAGATAGGCAGTCGTTGAGCCGCGGACTACTTCGAAAGTATTCCGAAGCAACCTTTTTATCGTTCAGAGGACTAAAATATTGTACGCGATTTTTAGATTGCTGGAGAAAGTCGTCCACTTCTGTTGGCGGCAACGGACGGCTCCATGTTAGCGGTCCGAAACAGCCAGCCAGGATTATGGAGGACAGTAGGGAACATCATCAGACTCGAAGGAGCAAGGTACGTTATTCATGATCCTATTCTTAACTTAAGACGAACCAAGGGGTAGGTAAAGCAACAGCTATATGCGATACGATTGTAAATACGCGGTATCGTACGCGTGTACGATCCTTGCGATTCGAATCAACCGGGCAATCTTTCGCGCCCGTTCGATGGTTCAATTTTAAATTCCGTACTGGCTGATCGTAGGGTTGTTCAATTCACTCCGAAGTAGCTTCTCTTGGTATTCCGTGACTCGGTACGTTTCTCCAGTTCCGTGCCTCGTGATTCGATTGCTCTTCCAATTCCATTGTTTGCTAGCTACTGGGCCGATCGATGTTTCCGTCGCTGTCGTGATCTAACCACGCTTAAACGCGTCGTTATTTAATTTATTGTACACTCGGGTACATCGTGGGCCTCTTGCTAAAAAGTTTGTACATTTCTAAATCAACTGAGAGTCAGCCAGTGATAGAACCTCGATATACTTGTTAAAAAATAGCCTACGGTAATCCTCAGTGTACATATCGTGATAAGTAAAGCTTTTACGTTTCATGTAAAAACAATTAATGATCGTATCGACAGAGACGGACAGAGATCGAGATAATCGCGATATACAAGTTTGATGAACCGCTGACGCACTGTCGTTTTATTTTGATTACCATTACTCCGATGCTAATTGGATTACCTATTTTAATTTTCTTTCTTATACAGCTTCAGTTGAATCTTCGCGCCGAGTGCTATCGACTGTTCATTAAATTTACGGCCAATGACGCAACCAGCATGCACGTGGGCAATTACTGTTGTCTGCTTAATAACCACTTGATCGATAGACGAACGCGTCTATAGCACTCCCTTCTCTATTATTTGTGTTCTCTCTCGAACTCGCGAGGTGCTTTCCTCATTCGCTCTGATAAAGAGATAATCCACGCTTATCTGGTGAAAATATAATTTTTCTTAGAGTGATCATTATTAAATTAAAAAACTATACACGCGTGATCGTATTCTTGAAACGAGTATGTAATTAAAGAGATAACTGTAATTTTGAAAGCTATCTAAATTGAGACAATTTCGAGAATGCAATTTGGCACTTGCAATTAAATATCTTGGCTCTTTAAATGACCTTCGACTAAAATTCAATGGAAGGGAAAGCACCTCGCGACACTGAAATCTTCTTAATTGCGCAAAAGTTTTCTTTCCAATTCTGTTCTTATTTCTCTGCTTCCGTTTATTTTGCCTTTTACTTAGCTACGATCTTTCCTTTAACGATTCTTAACAACGCGGTGCCATTTTGGTTCGCATTTCCACCGCGAATACGTTATATCATAACCGTGTCCAGCTCTCTCGGCACAAGCTCTCTCCCGGTCTTTATAGTTTTAATTTCGCTCTCGAGCCGTTCTCTTTTCTCTCGTGCACCTCCAACGTTTCGGCTTCCCTTCGTGTCTCCGATCTCTTAGACTTTTAACCCTTCGATTAAAGTACTCGGAGTCAAAATTCATGTCATAATTTTTGCAGAAATCCTTCCGGAGGGTTAAATGTCTTTTGAGACAATAGAACCTTGTCTTCCTCGACCCATGCGTGGACAACCAAGTACCGAATAAAAACATAACACGTAAGATCGTTAAATTAGAATTAAACTAAAAAGCATGCTGCTATATTTTCACGAGGGTTGTTCACGCAAGGGTTGCCCGGAGGAAAAATGGGAGAGAGAAAGAGAAAAGGAGAGAGTGGAAGAATGAGAGAGAGCCAAACGAATAATAGCTTTTGAGCACGTAAAGTCAATTTAAACGAAGGGGAGCAAATTAAAAAGAGAGAAAGAGAAAAAGAGAGAGAGATATAAAAAATGTTCGAAAGAAAGTTAAATTAAAAGAAAAAAAAATATTACCCTGGGTTGCGTTTGAGGGTAAATTGTGAGGGCGGTGAGCTTGAGCGAGGGTGGTTACAGGAGCCTGTACGGAGGTCTGTCCGCGGGACTCCAGAGACAGATGTGTTTCGCCAGCATACGGTTGGGCCTCTACGACGGGGTGAAGTCACGCTACGCTGGAATCATCGACGGTACATCCAACAAACTCCTAACTTTTGATTACGTAATCCTTTGCGATATACGATAACCCGGGTAGATCGACACGCGCTCGTGCGACCATCTCGCACGCGTCCATCTCGATCTGTGTTACCACGAATCAGAAAGAAACACACGCGTAAGTAACGGCTGGTCGGTCGATTATCGTCGACGACCATCGGCTGCCGCGTGCTTTTTATCAGCAACAAATAAAGCAAATGGAAGCTCCGGCAAGATATCCTGTCGAGCTGTCTTCGCGCGATCCGGAATTCGACGTCTGCGATGTTTCCTTTACTTTTTTATTTTATTTTATTTTTTTTTTCAATTGGTCGATATTAACGTCGCGTTTGGTTGATCATCGTCGTTTCCACGGCTGCGATAGTCTGTCGAAAGGAAGTGATAGAGAAGAAAAAAGAAGAATTAAGATCACGACGTGCCTCCTCCTTGCTAATTGGATCATTCCCGATAAATTGCTGTAACTTTGTATCTCGTCGTTAATTACGTACTCTTGAAAATCATGATTTATAATCTCAACCTTAATGAACGGTGTATCTTTCCTTCTATTCGTTTTTGTTTATTTTTTCCTTTTTTTTTTTGGTCGTTCAAAAGTATCGGGCAAAGGTAGCAACTTTATCTCGTGTTCATAAACGAGTCAATTAACGAGCATGTCAGTTTTAGTCTTCTTCGTGTAATCGTGACTACTCCTTTCTATTATCGACTCGAGAATTATTTATTCGAATATTACGCTGATATTAAACGAATTAATTACTAATAATAACGATCGTTATGATACTCGCGTAACTGCAAATCTGTTTAAACGATCGTACCGCGGATTTCGACTTTCGTCTTTGATCTTCAATGTCGCATGTTACAAACGTTTCCTTTCGCAACTGATTTACACAATTGTAACTAAACTTCTCAAGATTGCTTTCCCGTTTCGTATACTTGCATTGATGGTATTCGTCGACGACGTTCAAGTACCCGCGATCAATTTAATAAGTTTAATTCGTGTTTCGCGATTCGAAGCTCCACGAATCGAACAATAATATTCAATCGTTTCACTACACTCGATTGATCTCGGGTACGCGTCTCGATTATCTTGATAACCAGTCGCGTACTCCAATTGTACTCTCGAATGTCGTAATACTCGTTGAACAAAACCTTCGAAACTTTAGAGTTATCTTTAGAAAGAAAATTGATTGTAATCAAGAGATAATCAGTGAGCTAATAAACGTGATAAATCTGCCCCATCCTGCATCCTACATTCAATTTGTTCAAAGACAAAACAATCGTGTTTCGGATAAGAACCAAAAACAAAACCGATATACTTTAACGTCAACGTGCTTATCGTTAATTTTTGCATTAGCAGGTAATAACAGGAGCGGATCGAAGAATATCTCCGTACGAATTGCCGCTGGAATCACAACGGGAGCCCTGGCGGTGCTCTTTGCTCAACCGACCGATGTCGTCAAGGTTCGTCTACAGGCTGGTAGCATTGGACGATCATCGGTGAGATACAGCTCGACCTTGCAGGCGTACAAAAATATCGCTGCACAAGAAGGGACCCGAGGCCTTTGGAAAGGTACACATTTTGTAACATAATCCTCTGAACTATACTTGCCACTAGTTCTATATCTCCTGTTACTGTTAGGTCTAGAGGTCCCAATCACAGAAGGTATCACAAATTGAAATAGCAATAATCTGAGATATCCGAGTATCTACTAAACTAGTATACGGAACTCGTGAATACGAAAATATGAAATTCGAAATTCATTAGAGGATGTTTGTACACAGGAACCATTCCTAACATCTCGAGGAACGCCATAGTGAACGTGGCAGAGATCGTCTGCTACGACATCATCAAGGACTTCATTCTGGAGTCCGGCTACCTCAGGGACGGTATTCCTTGCCACTTGTCGGCCGCCGTGGCAGCAGGTCTGTGCACCACCCTGGCAGCCAGTCCTGTGGACGTGGTGAAGACTCGTTACATGAACAGCGCCCCTGGCGAATACAAAGGCGTGAAGGAATGCGCTGTTCGTATGATGAAGGAGGAAGGACCGTCCGCCTTTTACAAAGGCTTCGTGCCCAGTTTCACTCGGCTGGTGTCCTGGAACATCGTTCTCTGGATCACCTACGAGCAATTCAAGATCTACGCGAAGAGTATGAACCAGTAAAACACCCTTCGCCGCGGAACCTCCTCATCGATCACATATACACGCATACATACACCGTGTTTTAATCAACTGCAGCTTCATAATCTGTACTCTAATCGTGTAGCTTAGGGATAGGAGGACGATTAGGTCGTGTATCGTTTAGATTTCGCCGTTTCGAATAGAATCTTGTCTGCCGTCGTTCGCTGTCCGATCGATCGCGTAACTTTACAGCTGCATGTTGTTTTGCATCGATTCGAGACTTTTGACTTTCAACGATAGATTTACCTCATACGTATTCCTATGTAATAAATAGAATTCTTGCCTATACGTGCCTAGAGGACGATGAATTTTTTATAGAAAGTTATATGACGCTGCTTCGTAGGGTACACTGGTCGCACGAATATAGTATTTGTTCTTAGACTTTATTTTTAACTAACGTTTACGATTCTTTACTAATCGAATTTTGTTAATCGTTCGTTGCTAACGGCGGCAGCCAGTTCTCCTATCCATCGTTGTATCTTAATTTTCTTTTCGTAGTTGTGACCGCGCGTGCATTTATCAAATTAAACTCATTCGGTATCTTCAAAACGGAGGAGATTCTCCGTTCAAAATTGTAATTGGCTCGTGTCAAAGTATCGATTCAAAAATTCGAAACGTATCTCTATGTGACCATTTTTCGCAAAGTGCACGCACGATCGGAACAATTTTAGGAATCTCTGAATAATCCATAAAGAAAATTTTGGCTATGTAAGGTCAACTTTAGGTAAACTATGTAGGCCAATAGAAAAGAATGAAACTTTTTCCCATATGGGTAGCTAGTATTAAAAATTGCGTACGCATTACGAAACGCCAGACAGACAATAAGATTGAAGAAATTTCGTTGAAAAACTTTGCAGAGTTTGTTAACGGGAGCTACACACTGTATCGCGATAATTTTTGCTTTGAAACTCCGATTAATTCTTCGACGTACTGTAACCACGAGCTAACGAGGATCCTTCGCTTCGCTGTATGATTGCAAACGTTCTTTTTTTGCTTCTAATCGATTACTTACGCGGGAATGGTTTGACGATCGCTGCTAGACGTTAGGAAGATACAGGCGAATAATTCATATTCTCGTTTCGGGTCAATTAATGTTGTACAGGGCACAATTTTTATCGAATTTCTGATCGACGATTTGTAGTCTGTTTAAGGCTATGTTACCTACCATCTATTGATGTACGTTTCACATTAAAGAGTAATTCTTAACTTATTAATTGCGACTGTGTCTTCTTTTATTCACACACGTTGATTGCCATACAGTAAAAACGCTCATGTCTAGCAAGACACGATCCGAATTATTAACGTTGGCTGCCATCTCCGTTTTAAACTTTTGTTACGTTCAATTATTAAGACCGTGGAAATCACCAGCAACCAGTGCCACTTTAACAAAACAGAAATTGAAGAAAGTTTTAAACGTAGACACATGTTTTCAATTGAACGAGATGAACGCGTTAATTCAAGCTTCGGTCATCAATGACCCGGTGACAGTCAACGTTCTAACGCGTATTGATCTATGACCAAAGTTTTCTTGCCTTTTTCGTGTCGTTTTAAGGATTTCAGTGTCACCTCGATGTTCGAAATCCGTACCAGTAGATACACCGTACAGTATTAGTATTGTATTTTAAAATGTTCAATCAGACCACTTTTACGGTATTCATAATTAGTAGGATCGATTAATGAAATTCGACTGCCTTCGCGTAACAGAAGCTGCAAAACAGGAGCAAAGTTCCCGAGCGAACGGTGTTTCTTACCCGATTTTAAAAACATATTCTATACTTTTGGCGAATGCGTTTAATTCTATCAACTTAAGGATGTTTTACGAAATATTGTTTACGATTTCTTAAGTCGCACAAAATCAGAAAATTACTGACATAGTATTACACATCAGGATGCTTGATTCAGTATGTTTGGCAATAGTCACGCTTCTCAAGTCTTTGAGAACTTCTCACCTAATTTCTTGTTTCTTTTTCAATTTTAATTCTCTGTACGTACCTGCCTTGATCAGCTCTCTTGCATAACCCTTATTTAAGAGTTTCCCTGCCAATGAGACTTATTGTTATACTTATCTGATAAACACCGATTATCTGTAACGCTTGTAGCTTACATTAAAAATGAGCAACGCGACAGCGACCCGAATTTGCCATACTTCGTGCGAAACTATAGCGATCTAACAGTTCTATCAAATATTGGAATATATCGTTAACCCCTTGCCCTATGTTTTGTTTGGTATCAATCGTTAACTATGCAAATAATTGGACTTAAATTCTAAATTGAAACGCACTCAGAATTCGAGTAAAATTGATCACAGTTGAAGTGTGTCAGAGTCGTCAAAGTGGCAAGGGGTTAACGTTGATCGCCACGATAAAAAAAATTAATTTTTTAATACGAAGACTTGGTAGTAATATTTTTACCTGTTAAGAATGTAAAATGATTAGCTAGACCCTTGCTTTTAGCCGACTAAAATTTTAAGAATACGAGAAATTCAAAAATGGGTAACATTGGTTTGTGTGTATCGGTAGACTTTATTTTTTGTAATCACATTTGGTAAAGTATACGCAAAGTAAGCGAAATTTAACGAACAAGAAAACTGACTTTCCAGACAATGTAACAACCGAAAATGTCAGATTGATTAGTTTGCGTTTCTCCAACAAAAATAGCGATCATCTTCCTGCCTTCTGATTTCTTGGATAATTTGCGAATTTTCTGACTCGTTGCTGAACGAAGTTCTCAAATTCCGGTAACAGGGAATATCCACCTTCGTACGTTAACGATCTCTCGTGCTCGTCCGTGATGCTCAAATTCAATGGAAATTTCGATTTATAAAAGACAGACGACGCGTACGTTTTTCGAAGTTGTATACAAAACGGCGCTTCGGTTCTAGGTAGGATTCTCCGTAGAATTAGCTTGACATTTGTTACGAGTTTGAAATAAAAGTTCTTCAAAGTGTGCAGAATGTTCGATTGTGGTCTCTTTTCATTTTTATTCGATAACCAAAACCGGCACAGCCTCTTCGACGTACGACAAGGAAGCGCAACGGGGGCCCAGAAAAAATAAAGATCATCGTCGATATCCGTCGTCTCTGATGCTTCGTCACGGGCCTAAGTTTCGAAATCGGACTCGTCGGATTCGCAGCTGGACGAAATATCGCCCTCCATGCACCCTGATTCCTCGGGAATGCCATCTCCCATTGGAATCCTATAAAAAATCGATTCACGTTACAGAAATCGATCATCATCGATATCGCACTCTTTCACACGAGTATAAAATTTATGCAACGTAACTATAAACGTATTTTAAAGGCGATGCTGTAAATTTTCGATTTAATATACATTAAAAAAGCCATGTCCATTGTTCAGTGAGACACACGTCCTTTACAATAAAATTGTTAGAGGAAGGTATTTATGCAACGTAATTATAAACGTATTTTAACGGCGATGCTGTAAATTTTAGTATAAATTAAAAAGCCAAATACACGTCCATTGTTCAGTGAGACGCACGTCCTTCACAATAAAATTGTTAGTGAAAAATATGATTAACATTTAAGAAACTCTCGCACAACATTTCGTGAGCGATCTATTATTTAGTTAGTACAGACTTTCCAGTTAAGCAAAGAATTTGAAGAAGCGTAATCGAATGTGCACACACAAGACCGATAAATCTTGCCTTCAATTTCTATAGTTGCTAAGGAAGAGCAGCGATATGGTATATCGCTGCTCTGTCTTGAATACACCGTGGATTCCTTTTGGGATTCTGTAAAACGCACTTTTGCGGACAACAGACCTCCACCAACGACCTACATTCAGAAGATGCACGATGATCAAAATACCACTCGTCCCTTAAAAATGACATCCTGAGCACTATATCTACGATATGATTTTCTGACTTTCAATTCTTTTAAAAACCTCAAAATTACATATAATATATATAATGTACATTGTATGTTACATATAACATATTACAGTATGTTACATATAATGTACATATAACATATTACATTTCAATCTCAATATTTTTTCACAGCATCGACAAGAGTCCTGAAATATTAGCAGGCATAAAATTATCTAAAAAAAAGTAGCAATGGTACGAAATACCTAAATGTGAATTCTGTCATAGCAGATATAACCATAGAAGTAAATCGTACCGCTCGTGAACGTACTTGTCGATATCCCAGTCTATGCCAGTGTCTTTCATCATCGACAAAGCCTGACAGAAATCTTCACCGATCGCCTTCAAGTGTTTCGTGTCCAAGTGCAGACCCGCCAAGGCGCCCTGATCGCATCCGCAGAAGCTGCTCTCCATCGTGTAGCTTCTGTTCAAAGCGAAAGAAATCGAGTCAGTATAAAGCCGAGTCGGTGTTGCGCAGCGAGCAAGATCAAAGCACCTGCAAACACCTAGCTGCCTCCATATAGCTACCCTCGCGGTGGATTCCTTGTTCCTCTCGACCTTGAACGAGCACAGTGGCAACGCGAATGCTGGAGATACTCTTTGCATCAAGTGCGGCAACATCTGAAACACGGATATAGCTTAGGGTCCGTAAGACCTTCGGGGTCCTTAGCTATTGTACGATTGCAAACATTCGGCGTAGAGAGGATAAATTGTCCTCTGGTTGCATAACCTTTTCCGACGTATGGCGATACGACGCGTAGTAATCTACCATGCGAAAATAAAAGCGAATTGTTCAGCAAACTGCGTCATTCTGATATTCGTTTAAGAGTTAATTAACGATCCTTCGAAGAAACCAGCACAATTTCAAGCGTTTCGTAATCAGCGATGAATCAAAATCGATTTTGCACAGACCGAAGACAAATAGCTTCGTTTTGAAGTGTATGTTCGAGTTAAAAGGATCTAAAATTGGAGCACCGGATCGATGTTCAATCCTGTTCCCCGTAAATTATCTGCACGAACAAGTTCGCGCGAATGCGTGTTCCGTTCGCTCGTAAATTGGGTTCGAGAGATCGCGTTAGATTACCGTTCGTAGGCAATGCACTGGTGGCCATCAGATGTAACATGTCGGGTCTAAAAATAATATCTCTTTCACCCTGTTCGTTCCTTTTTCGTCCCTTACCAAATACTGCACCGGCTGGTCCGGTTTCGCCCTGTCCGCTGCGCTCCAAGAACCCGACCTTGAGCAACCGAACAGAAACACGTTCTTCCTCCGTGAATGGCCGTGATAGTCGACGAAAACATGGGGAGGTCTTTGCAACACCCTCGTGCAGTACTCCATCAGGCCCTTCGTGTGGTAGATCACCGGATGGAGAGTCCGGTTCGGGTTGCTCCAACGTCTGTTCAGATCCTCGTTCGTCAATCCGTATCGATTGCTATAATCGGACAAAAATGGCTTCTTTAACTCGAATTTTCAAATTGATATATTGCGGTATGCAATCGACACTGATGGGTACTTCTCAATTTCGAAATTTTTCACACTTGTAAATTCTCAAATTGACAAGTTATTAAGCTCCCTAGTTTCCAAGTTCTAAAATTCGAAGTCATCTACGTCTAGCACCTGTGCACACCTGTTTCCACATGTTCGGCGGACACATGGTCTGCTCATCATCGGGTTAGAATATCAATGGCGCGAAACAAAGTTCCAAGAAACGCGTTGTTAGAATTTCCTGTCAGTTTGCGAGTCGATGCTGCACGTTGAAGTGCTGCTTGCACCGAGAAGGAAAAGGAAAAGGGCCTTGTCGGAGATGGTTTTCATTTAAGGATTCAGTCGCGGTTAGAAGGACGTTTCCGGCGGCCGGAAGTCGATCCGGAGGAAGTGACGCCTCCGCGTCGTGCATAGCTAATGGTGGGGCACCGTGGACCCCTGACAATACCCGAGACAACAACGATGCATCGTTTCGAGACCTATCGTCTTGACATTGTTTTAAGATGTGTACGATGTACCGTACTTAGAATACTAAATACATCTATCGATTTTGTCTGAAACGTCCCTTCGATTATTACGTGAACATTACAATCGCAGAATATTAGAAGTTTCAAAATTGTACAATTTTTGGCTGGTGCAATGTATAGTTCTGTACAATATGTCCTACTAAAGCATACAAGTCTACTCTTTAAATACGTTGAGGCTATTTATTAAAAAAAACATTCTACCTGCACTCGAGATTAACGATAATCATGAACTTGAAACTGACAGTACACAAGTAGATTAAGCTGTATGTCATAAAATCTTATCGAGTTTCGTAGTAAATCACCTGTTCGATATGCAACGATATGCCTGCAGAATAATTAATTAATTCCGTTTCGATTGCACGAGTTGAACGAACTACCTTCTACATCGTTACGGAGGAAGGAAGACAAAAATAATGACGAAACGACTATCACGGAAACGAAAAGTCGCTCGTCTCGGGATTAAGAATCGGTACACGCGTATTCCCGGACAGGAATCGTCGATCGTCGTCCCGATCGAGACGTTGCGTTGTTCACGTAATACAAACATTAGCAATTTGACGCCTCGTAATCGCTTCCGGTCTTTAAGGTAGAACAGAGGCACGTGACGCATCCAAGATAGCAACGTAGCGATCGATATCTTGCGTCGGCACAAATGGCGAGGAATAATAAGAATAATGGCCGGTCGGTGACGATGCACCTGAGGATGATGTACGCGAAGAAATGTTCCCTCGTGTCTGCGGACGTTCACCGGCGTGTCGGATATTCGTAAAAATCGTCGAGAAACAACAGTCATCGGAGATAATAGATTTCGTCCGGCGAGAAACAGAAAGAGGGGACAATCTAGATAAAAACTTTCGACAGAACTATTGCCCTCGGCCGCGTATTAAAATGAAATCACCGGTCGAACCAACATGACCCGCGTTTTGCGTGCCCTTTCATTAAGAGCGACGACCATTAGAGGAAGAACTCTAACGCTCTTCGAAACAGTGATACCGTTAGCTATGTCTGTATGTTGAAAAGTAAGATGTACAGGTTTTCTTAATGACCATTGAAAAAGCTGAAACGGAAAGAGGATTCCTTGTTCGACAACGCGGAAGATCATAAGGATGTTTCTTTGTTGGGGATAAACCATTTAACCTTTTCACAGAGGAGCGTTTATTTCATCAATTTTATACTACTCTCATGAAACTTTTTCCTCGAGAAACGTCCATCATTGACCTTAGCTTAAATTAGAATCGAGCAAATGCACCATTAAAATAAATCCTAATGTCAGTCATCAGTTCTTAACAGCCAGTAAAAAGATTAAGCCGGAAATCACGGCTGGATCTCTAATCCGCGTTCGAAAAAAGCTTTGTATCCTTATTGTCGGTGGATGTTAATGCAGCGATGCATATACATAGCTCGTATTTCGAGCGTAATGAAAACCAGTCGAGATTTCTTAATAACGAATGAAAATGCTACGTATCAATCCCTTCATAAAAACGTTGTTTTATTATCGTGAATAAATAACAGTTTAACGCCGCGTGCAATTGGTCAGAATTGGAAAAGGATATATTTCTGTTTCGCACATAATAAAGCCGCGAGGCGAATTAATCGAGTCGGGAGCGTAGATTTTATTCGACTATAAAACGAAGACGCGAGGAACGAGCGAACGACAATGAAGCAATTGTACAACGAAGTTCTTTGCTGTTTTATTAGCCAGCCGATGTAATGGGCAGCATCAGTCTGTTCGTGCTAGCGAGGCGATGTCAATGACTCGAACCGAGGAGCCTTGACCGCAAACTTCTCTCACCTCTTCAGAGATCCTGTACAAATTACCCTTAACCGACTGCTCGTCTCGGACTTGCTCCGTGAGATTTTCAAAGGTACCGCCTCGCGTCGTGCCGCTGGATCGCCGAAGGAAAAAAATCCGGTGAATTACTTGGACGCTCGTTGGATTACGATTAACGAGCGTCGATTCGCGCGCGATTTATCGTCATAACAGCATCGATCGTAAATTACGTTCGAAACCGCGATCGCTTCGGTCCCCTCGCTGTCATTTTCATCCTCGTTGCGTTTCTTTCCGAACAAAAGCTACCGAACCGCATCGCCGATACAACAGAATGCAGTTTGCGTTCACGGATTACGTCGAAAGTGGTTGTACGCGTTCTCTTTCGTTTCACTCTCCATTATTCTTCCGCAAAAGGAGAAGAAATGCTGCAGTTATTACGAGCCTTCCAACATCTGGATATTCCCCGAATCTAGATTTCTTGATTCCTCTAACTTTTCCCTACGTTCTCCAAAACCTGCAAATGGCCGCCTCTCTGTGTCCTTATTTGTACTCGGAAGTAATCCTTGGACCTTAATGCTTTCTACGCTCGTCCACTTAAAGTCACTGTAAATTTAAGGCTTTACAATTTGACGTCATCATTATTTGCGCATTAAGCACATTAACGACGCGCCAAAGTAGACTCTCGAGCGCGGATGATATGTAAACGTACGAGAAGGCTGGTTCGAACCCGTTACGCATAATTTTTCAGCAATTTATCGAGCAGCTATTCCAAGCTCCTTGTGGTTCCCGTTCGAGGCTGAATTACGTAGTTCGCGAGGAAACACGGCCAAAAGTCACGACACTTCGAAGAACGAGCAAACAACCAGGACGAAACAAGACGAGGAAGAAAAATTGGCGAATCGTTGTTGCAATCGTAAAGCGAAAATCCTTGGGCACCTTGGGAACACGCTCGTTTCTTCGTGCTCGTCTTCTACGTATCACGCGTTTCTTCCGTGAACTTTACTACCAACCGAGTCCTCTATCTTTGTTTCATCTCTTCTCGCCTCGCGGGCATTTTCTTCGAGGTTATCCCGGGGTTCGATCGTGTAACCGCTCCGTGAACTCCTTTTTCCCCTGCTTCTTCTGCTTGTCTCCCGGCTCCTAGTAAGAAATCTATTTCCTGCGCGTTCGAACACGATCGTAACTCGGTTTCATTGCGATATAATACGAAATGAAATTACACGTAGATAACCTCTTCCACCATCAAACGTATATAATATCCCTCGCTTTAATAATCGAAACACGCCGATTTTATACTTTATTCTTTAATAGAGTTTCCTGCCATTCCGCACTTTTAATATCTTAACTGTTGAAAATCTAGATAATTTATCTTCGAACGATCGAACTAAATCGTGATCAATTTTTAGCGCCGTGGAAAGTAGCAGGTTATTCGGAGAAAAAATACGTAGGTTTTTTAACGAACGTCTCAAGAATTTTCCTCGGAGGAATTCGCGCGTAGCTTACGAGAATTAGTGGAGAATTTCCGTGGAACACGAAGCGGTGCACAGTTAACACGGGAATCCGCGGAACGAGCGTTAAATTTGTCGCGATATATCGTCTTTAAAACGTGCAAATTACCCCGGTGCACCTTCTCGCAGCTCCCGGTCCGCTTATCTCGAATGTCCTCGCGCTCGTATCGTGAGCCGCTTTAAAGAGGCTGCTCCATACGTCGCTGGAGAACGAAACAGGAACACGGCAACAGGAGCGTTCGAGTATCTTTATAGCGTCAACCGATACGATATATCCGAAGGGCCCGAACACGGTTGACGTTGCTTTCAGGATGCTGGGCCGGCGAAGGGTTAACACCGAGCGCATTAGAATACTCGTGACCGGTCCCCGATTTGCATTCCTTCGCGAAACCAAGGCCTCTCCCCCGAGTCCCCTTTTCTTTTCTTCCCGCTCTTTTTCTTCCTTTCGTTCGTTCTTTTTTTCCTTGCTCCTTTGCACGATCGCGGCCGAACGGGGAGAGCTAATTCATTCGTTGCCGCTTCTTCTGCACCCTGACCGATCGTTTCTTCGAAGCTGAGGCACCGGCAAAAGCAGCCCTTACGCGGTCCCCTTCCTCGACCAACGAGGAATGCCCGTCAACGTTTTTACTATAATGCGATTCGTCCCGCAATGAACGCCGTTCACGGACCTCGTAAAATTCGCGTTTCGCGGAACCCCGTCGGCTGACAGAAATAGAAACAGCTGACACGATGGATTAACGAAAGGTAAAGAAAAAAGTCGACGGTAAAGCCGACGAATGCCTTCAATTTTATGTTACTTTAACCCTTTCGTTACGGACAGTCTGTACACGAGCTTGGAAATGTGCTTCAGCAGATCAAACGCGTATTATCATTAATCTATATCTACGCCTGTCGTTTATGTCCTAGGTATTAAACAGAGTCTGTATTTTATGTACGGATGTAGATTTTCGAATCCCCTTGTAGAGACATTTATGTCTCTACATCCCTTTATCTATACTTAAATCCTTGTGGATCTCCAAATCTCCATATCTTTAAACTCCTTGATTTTCTACAACCCTCATATTTCTGTATTCCTGTATCAATACATGTCAGTATTCCTGCACCTCGTATTCCCCATATCACTAAAAATAATCTCGTGTAT